CATTACAGCCTATTTTAAGGCCACTGCTGAACCGCGCCTTTCCCCATTCATTGCCTCACTGGGAGGATATTTCTCATAGTTCTCACTTGCGTTGCTCACACTTGGCAGGCGAGTTGGCCATCGTAGTGCTTTTATTATTTTAAGTTGTTATCAGAAGCTGTCCATCTCTTCTTTCATTTCCCTCTGTCGCTTTTTACGAAACCCACGGGATAGTATGTGGTAGTCTATATTCTTACACCGCCACAACACGAGAATAAAATAAAAATGTTGAATATGAATTAAATTTAATTGTAAAACTAGTGAAATTTAAATAAAAATATTTATAGTTTTTCATGTTTCGAATTGGTATAACCAAACTATTAAAATAGATTACAAAATACGTTTTTCTTTTGTAAAATGAAGCAAATAGGTGTTTCTAAATGTTGAATTTTAAACATTATACAATTTAATCAAATTGCTATTTTTTATTCTTTCAGATGCAGAGATTTATGGATCAAGTGTTTTACTCCAATCTTAGTTTAAGTGGATTTAAGTTTTTCTATGTTACCAGAGGATCAATTTTGTCTGTACGTGTATATGTCGTAGATAATTCTATCTCTTACGAGAGACCTATTATTTATTACCTCTTTCTAGTGCATGTGGAATTTTAAGGTGGCTTGCATTATGTTCCCGAATTCTTATAATTGCATCTTTTTTCAGATGATTGCAACTTTAATAAAATATGAGCTTGTTCTTCTTCAATTTCCTGAAGGTTAATATGGCTGACGTGATTGGGCCTCGTATGCATATTTATTTTTAGTTTAAAATTTGCAATGAAATAATGAAAACATCACAAATATTACTGTAACTTTATTTTTATGAGCATTAACGTATTTTTTTTCACGACGAAAATATAATAAATGTTAAAAAACTTTTCACTTGTTTCCACTTAAAAAAATAATCATAATATAGAGTTTTAAGGGTTAATAAGCTGCCTGCGGTGCATTCCGATAGATGACGAACGAAGCTTTAGTGTACAATAATGGAGGAAAAACCATCTTAAATGCTGAACCAACTCTTATACTATAGATGGAGAGCAGATCAGTGCGATGTTATCTGGTCTGCGTTTGCCGAATCGTCTCCCAAGAGTTAATAAGTATGAACAATACTATCGTTAAATATGCTTCTAACGTAATAGTTCAACGCTGCAACTATACTGTTGCAAAACGAAAGAGTTTGAGCAAAAGAGCGGCTTTTCTCTCTTCGGGTACCTGGATACCAACAAACCGATTCTCTTCATAACTGACTAGCAGTCCGACTTGTGGTGAATTGTAGAATGATAGTGCCTAATAGTTGACATCATCCTCCTAAACAAAATCGCTGGTGGTAATCGATTCCACAAGGAAGTTGTGCGAGGAAGAAAATATCTTCTAAATCTCACAGTGGTGGACCGCCAATCATCCAGGTGGTATGGATGTTATCGCAAGTTTAGTCGCGATGTGTGATGGTGAAATTGAGCGGCTGAAATTAGTCCGAACAATTCCTCACAGAACTCCCCGTGGTAAATGCGATAAAATACGCAAAGAGATGCATCATCTCTGCGCAGTGCCACTGTATCGAGCCGATCAGAAAGAACTCGGTCGTCGACGATTCGTACCGCTCTGCGCTGGATGCGGTCAAGTGGAAGAAGCTGGCACTGGGATGATCCGGCCCAGAGATGAGAATATTATTCCATGTGAGGCCGGATTTGCCCTTTGTAAAGTTTCAAGCGATGTGCCGGGATGAAATACTGTCTCGCTCTGCTAAGCACGCCAAGCTTTTTAGAGGCCAGTTTGGCCTTCTCTTCCAAGTGAACACGAAACGTCACACTATGCGATATATCGACGCTGAGGATTCCGATACTGGCTGAGGCAACAAAGGGAGTGCTTTGAAACTGAGGAGATACGACAAATGGGTTCTTTTCAGAGGTAAACGCGCAAACTTGTGTCTTCTGGGGATTGAACTGGACTAGTTTTAGTCGCCAGTCTGAGATTTTGTTCAACAAAGTCTCAGACTTTCAGACACAAGTTTGTTCCGGTACTCGGCGCCGTTTTCCTATTATTGGCACGGCCGGTGTAAAAAACATCACCAGTACTGTCTTCTGCATAGCAATTAATGTTTTTTTTATAAGATAAGGGTGACAAACGAGCACACAGTCCACCTGATGGTAAGTGGTTGCTGCGGCCCAAGACATCTACATCTATCCTCGTTTGCAAATCAAAATGCAGATGCGTTATCACCGGTGAGGACTAAGATGGTATGCCTCATTTCCAGTAAAAAGGGCCTCCTGCCACCTGCACCCATCAAGCAAAACGCAGAGGTAAACCTCTACTTCACGTTGGTATTCTGTGAGGTCGTGGTACCACCCCGGTTCGAGCCGGCCCATCCGTGCAACAGCAAAAGCTGCCGCGTGGCTCTACCACTGTTGAATGTTACCGATTTGCAACATATCATTGAAAAAGTAATAGTATATATCATCGTCTTATTAAAAGGAAGATGGTTCACTTTACTCCACTCTGATAACCCACCTATGTATGTAAATAACAGACACTTCACAGATTTTACTTTGGTAGGCAAGTCATTTATAAAAATTAAAAACAGCAGGGCCATGAGTACTACACTGACTCTCAACAGATCTAGTGAAATAATCGAAACCACTTATTCTAACAAATTGACGACGATTATTCAAATAGCTAGCAAAGAATTGAAGCAGCTCCAGAATAAAACCCAACTTAGCTAGCTTCTGTAACAGTATGTCATTACTCACCAGGTCAAAAGCCTTTCTAAAATAAAAATAGGCAGCGTCTACCTGTCTTCTAGAATCCATATCTGCACAGACATAGTCTACGTGTACTTTCAAGCTAGTATTCGTTGAGCGATTCTTTCGAAACCCATGTTGACTGTCATACTTGAATGTTATTTAACTGTTTGCTACTGTGAAAGTTCAATATGGTTTCAAATATCATCGCCAGAACCGAAAGCACCGTAATAGGTCTAAAAGCAGAAACATCCTTTGCAGTTTCGCCCTTTGGAACAGGTGTCAACCTAGATTGTTTCCATTGCTCTTTATATTTAACCTATCTAAGATACAAAATAAAAAAGGAACAACACCGGTGAACGAAGAGCTGGCGCACAATCCTTGCCCAGATAAACAGGAATGCGATCAGGGCCACCAGCAGCTCGTGGCTTTATTCGTTTTATTACCAATCTAAAATCACTATGGTCTACTTGCCAGACTGAGATGGACATCACGTTAACTTGTGAATTAACCACATTTTCGATATCTACATAGTTTAATTGAAGTTAATTTTTAAGAAGTACATTATGAAATACTGAGGAAAAATTTTCAGCAAAGGCATTAGCCGCATCTTGATCTGTTACTTCTTTAGCTTTATAATTATACGTTTCACCTTATAAACATATTTGCAAAAAAATATCGGATCGTCAATTATGCTTCTCTGTATCAACTTAATGTGCTGCTCATATAAAAATGCCAGTGTGTTCCTTATAAAGAGTGAAAATAACCGGAACCTTTTTAACACTAGAAGGGTCGGGAACATGCCATACCTACAAAGACCACGAGCGTCAAATTAACGATATATTGGATGTTTGTGATTGAATCAATATTATGAATTTTTAATGTTGATTTTAATTACTTAAATACTTTGATTACATGGAACATTTACGACAAAAAAATTTATAGACATTTTTATGCATTGACAACAAACAGCTTTTTGGCAAACAGTGTATATATCAGGGGCGTTTTTTACATTTCGAATTAATTTGATATTGACATTTTTTATAGGATAAGGGGGACAAAGGAGCACACAATTCACCTGATGGTAAGTGGTTACCGTGGCCTATAGACATCTACATCTATCTTCGATTCCGAATCAAAATGCAGATGTGTTATCACCCGTGAGGACTAAGATGGAATGCCTCGTTTCCAGTAAAAAGGGTCTCCGGTTCTCAACACTCACCATACGAAGCACAGGAGCGTTAAGCTGCTATTTTACGCTAGTATTCTGTAAGAGCGTGGTCCTTCCCCGGTCGAGCGGACCCATTCGTGCTACAACCATAATATAGCTACAGCATGGCTCTACCACGTATAAATCATCATTGAATTACATCTTTTGGAAGTTCTTTATCAGACGGTACGGATTTGGCGGATGGAGGCTAGGCGACAAAAAGTGTAATATTTTTCCGTCACGACCCTCTCTGACGTACTGTGGACGGCCTTGGCCTTGTTTTTGCAATAATAGACGCTGTTAATTCATTTATTTGTATTTGTGTAATCAATATTATAATACGTTTATCAATAATAATATACTGCGAAAGGAACTTCGTTCCAACCGAGTGTTCCACGACACTCACGCATGTTTTTTTTAATGTGTAGTAAGGCTGTACTTCGGTATTATTTATATTATCTACAAGTTAAATAGTGGTTGAACATTGTTTTTTACTTATGTACTCAGCTCGAAGTTCATTTACGAGTGCGAAAATATAATTGTAGCGAGAAATGTTTTCATCTGTAACTTTCCTATAAACAATCCATGAATTTATAGCGGCTAAATCTAAAATATTGTAGAAGACATGGACTGGCCATCTTCTCCGAGTTCCAGCTCTTACGGTCTACTTTCGTGCTATTTGGTCAACTATGTCGACGCCCAGTTTGGTTTCGTTATAAAACTGTACAGTCTAAGGAAGTGTTTTTGAATAAGTATCAATATGAACATCTTGATGTAGTGTACTCAAGATAATTACATTTTTTCCAGGTTTATTTTGATAAACTGTTAGGATTGCGTTTGTTGCCGATTTAAAAATAAAGGTTTCATATCTTTGTGTACGAATGTTTCTACAAATTGGTGGTACTCTCGTCTTGCTCGTCTAATTGTTCCAACAATACTCGTATTTTCAGATCTTAGCTTTTCTGCTTATTTTAGAGATGTGCAGAAATTATCCGTGGTGACGTTTCGACCTTTTTAGAGATACGGTATTAACAGTTTCATAACTACATGTTCTGGTAATGAAATATCGTATAGTATTAGGCGCTCAACATCTTTTCCTAAATAAGGAAAGCCACCACATAGATATTTTCTCTCAACATTCACTAATAACAAAAACTTGATTCCAAATTTATCAGGTTTATTTGTAATGTATTGCAAAAAACGATAACGTGTTTTCGATGGAAATAACTGTTCTTCAACAGTCATATTTTCACCAGGAATGTAACACATTTCACAGTTTTCTATGAATTTATTCCATATATCAGAAACCATTGCAAACTTGTCTGTATATAAACGCGTATTACGCGTTTTTCTCAAATCAAATCGTAAATATTTCATTATTTAGTTGAATCTATTTTTACGCCAGGAGGAAAGATTTTTTTTGTTTTCTACATACCGCTTTGCGTATGGAGTAGGACCTTAAACTTTTCTTAGTACGTTTTGCTGACTTCGACGGCCCGTTCCACCACCACTAGAAATACACGTCCATTCACTGCCATCACTAGCTACTTGACTCATATTTACTTCTGAAAACGATGACGTTCTAACTAGCTTCCTACCACGGGTTATGCTTCCAGAGTGCTGTGCTCTTCTGCCAGGTCCAAGTCTGGTACCACGAGTTCTTCGGCTGCCATGTTCGCTGTGTAAACTCCTGTCCTACATTTCAGTTTCAAAAGGACTTTGAGTTGGAGTATCAGTTTCAGAATCCTCCGATGTGGAACTTTGTTGTTCTGGATAAAAGTCCCTATCCGTGTTTTCGCAAAGTTCTACTGATAATTCATTGTCACTTTCATCACCTGAGATATCTTCTTCTATACCACGAAGTCGCAATAACTCCCGTTCTATTTCTTAAGTCTGTCAATTCGAGCTCAGTTTATAATGTAAACACACGCCAATTAACTTCAAAGAATCAGTGGAAACTACAAGTCATGTCAACAAATACAAAATGTAAAAAAAAGATACGTTCAGAAGGTAGAAATAAATCTTTTGTTTTCAATACTTCACACTAATTGATGTGGCGTCAAATTGACGGCATTCGGTCTTATTAGGAATAAGTAAGCATTTTCCTTTTAACAATTATAACTCACTTATTTTTATTATTTTAAAACTTATAAAATCATAAATTAGGAAAAGTCATTAAATATGAATACAAACTGAAAAATAGATAAAAGTTATTAGGGATCAAAATCATTTTGCCGTCAAATTGACGGCGTTGACCCTTCTAGTGTTAACTAGTAGTAAACCAATATATCTTAGCCCTTTGGGATGACAACACATCTCCATTTTGATTCTTAATAAGGATAAATGTAGGTGTCTAGGTAGCCACAGCATAGACGTACTCTCTGATGGATTATGTACTCGTTTGTCATCCATATTATAACATAAACACTCACGCCTGTCACCCAGAGGGGTAGGCAGAGACTACGGACTTCCATTTGGCGCGATCCTGACACACCTCTTTCGCCTCTTTTACATCCATATATCTACGCATACACGCTCGTCGGTTAAGGGTACTACTAATCTGGCCCATTTTTAATGTATCGCCGATTTGGTCGATAAACCTTCGTCTAGGGCGTCCCTTCCCGACCCTGCCGTACGGGGACGGCAGGGACGGCAGGGTCATCCATATTCTATAAAAAAAAATACTAACAAAGCGTTGTCAAGAAAGCCAACTGTCTGTCTGTTTGCTTGTAAGAGATAACCAAATATAAATTTATCTAAACATGCGTTCGATGCCGCACAACTTTTCATACAGCCTAAAAATAATAATTTGAGCCTGGATGTTTGTATATCTACATCTTATGTACCTACATATTATGTTAAACTTAGTTATGAAAAAATAAAAGATCCTCTTGTAGAATACCTTCTTCCCCTCCTCCTCCTGTATTTTCTCTAAATTTAAAAGGAGTGCCAAAGCAGAAAAGAAACATCCCAACGGAAAGTGAAAATAGCCTTTTAAGACTTCTAAACTTAGTACCGTATAAACCGTGTAGTGGCGGTGTAAGAATATCCACTACCCTATTTTGTCCTGTGTGTGTCGAAAGGGCGGCAGAGGGAAACTAAAATAGAAGATGGGTAGCAACATCTTTTTGATAACAACATAAAATTATAAAAAACTGTAGTTGCCAACCCACCCGGTAAGGGTGGTAACTACGGCAAAAACCTCCCTATAAGGCAATCTACGGGAGATTCCTTTGTTCAGCAATGGACTTTTATAGACTGTAATGGAAACTTAGTACGTGGTTTCAAGTAAATTCACGATAAAATTATACAGCTCATGCATAATTCTCACTAGTCGTATGTTTTTGGCAAATATAAACATAGTAAAGCATTGTAGTGTGGTGGTGGCGTAGGAGTATCCAAATCCAATCAAGCTTTTTTGTCGTTTAGTTTTAACTTTCTCGCTGCCCATTGGCGTATAATACCCGATTGGCGCATGAGTTTTGGTACTGTGATTGATAATCCGTCTGTTAAAAGATTAAGAAAGAAGAAGGCCGTACTATGACGTTTTAACATTTCAACTCGTATCATCAAATTAAAAACAAAAGTTCAATTACGTCTTATTGCTGGGCACAGGCTTTCATTATTCACGTTGGCTTTTGAGATAATTTTAGAGTAAAAAGACATCACCGCGCTCTTTCATTGCATGCTAGCCGACATCATAATGTTCTCGAAATATTTAAATTTTCCTAATCTCTTAGTCATCACTAAAATATTAAGTCTTTTCGCGAGTTTTTAAACTTCACAGCTGTGCACATGCTAAATGTTACTTACTACATATAATGGGGACTTTTTTTATTTCTTTGCATTTTAAATTGAGTTAAATAGTAATAAATAGACTTTATTTAGTTTTTTTTTCAATTGTAGCTTATGTGTATTTTATATACCCGGAACTATGCTGTACTAATAAATTATTGTATAGCATACTTTCGGGATAGTTTTAATAAGACATAAAAATTAAGATGATAAGAGAAGAGGCAAGCGTATATATAATGGCTGGAGATGGATCGCCCCAACGCGACGGAAAGCCCGCGCTCTCACAGAACGTCAACGTCCTTAGTTGAATAAAGGACTTATGAATAAAGGTGATAATATTTAATGGGAAATATGAAACGCAGCCACATACTTTTTACTTTTATTTAATTTATGTACCACCAGTAACATAGGCCGATTTTTTTTCTACCTAGGAGTTCGTCTGGGTAAAAACCAACCCTCTTACCTATTGCTGCTCCTAATAGTAGTGCATGCACTGCTATGTTCCGGTCTAAAGTCTGTATAGACAGCTTGCTTAGTTACAGACTGTGAGGGATTCCATCTTAGCCCTTAGAGATGACAAAGCATCTGAAGTCTTCTTTATTTAAAGTTGGTAACAGTTGTCAATGGTCTGCAGGAGCTATTTACCATCCGGTGGACTGACATCAGGTGGTTCTTTTGTCTTTTCAATTTTATGAAGAAAAATCTGACAGTTTTCACCCTTTAAAGGAATTTTCAAAGATTCAAAATACAAAATAATAATTTCAAAATTTAAATTGGTAGCAAAATAATTTGTGTCAAGATATATGACTTTTTTGTAAGATAGGCTTATGAAAAAAAAAACGTTTTATTTTTTTAAAATATTTTCTTTTTTAAAGGAATTGTTTAAAGTAAAGGCTACATTGTAAGCAACGTTGAGACGTTCGTTTTATCACAGTAGTTTATTACTGCGGTGAGTTATTTAGGGAACTACTATTGTCTTATTGAATTACTGATAGGGTGAAAGTCAAAAGCATCAAGATTATACAGATGAAAGACTTTTTTACCTTTTATCGGATAATATTTTGAGAAACGTTACTAAACCTTTTCAAGATATTCCAAGTTCCTTGAACAATAAAAATATTTAAGGTATATTAAAGAAAGAAAAACCCTACTATTTGGCGACCACTAAGTCAAATTCACCTCCATAGAGAGAGATTGCTGATCACTATTGATGTCGCTGCAGTAGATAAACGATTGGCTAAAGGCGGCTCATCACGCTGGCAAACATAGTAGTGAATGTGTTGGAAAAGATATTGGCCAAGAGTTTGTGACAGCGTCTACACGTTGGAAGGTCGTTCAGTTTGTTTCGGTTCAGGCCAATGTGCGGACGAATTTATTAAAATGGATATTGAGGCACCTGCTGCGGTTTATTTATTCACATCATACCACTACTACATGAATGTGTATAAGAAAAGGGTGATCAAAAAGAAATAGAGAAAAAGACATTTTATTTCTTGTGTTCCATAAATGATTTTCAGCTTGGTGGGCTATAAAGCGAAAAGTTTCTTCATTGGTCATTGTAACTGCCATTGTGTAGACTAGTTACGATGCGTGAATATAAAATTTAAGTGAGATGCGTCTGATCACTCTGGGAACTCGTAGCAAACTAAACGTGCACCCAACGTGTGGACGCGATGGCCAATTCTCTGCCAAAACCCTTTGATCTTTTGTAAAAACCCAACACCACACGGATTTCACCCCAACTTTTGGGCCATCTTTCCAATACATACCAAGTGTAGCACAAACACCCGCTCTGCATCATGGCCATTTTGTTCAATAACTTGTTCTTGTAAATATTGGGAGTTTTGATCAAAAAAATGCGACAAGTAGTTTTGCAAGTCCTCTTATTGTTAACCTAATACTACTCAAAAAATTTTGAAGAGACCAAAACAGGTAATAATCTGAGTGTGCAAGGTCAGGTCTATATGGTGTATGTACGAGTATTAACACTTCCCATACAAGCTCTCTCAAATTTTGCTGAGTGGCCAAAGAAGCGTGTGGTCTAGCGTTAGCATAATGAAAGATTTAAATAAAACTAATTTTACGGATTTTATCGCGTATATTAACTTATTTTACATTCCCGACGTTTCAAGCACTTTACAGCACCCATGGTCACGGGGGGGACTGAAGTGTATGACGTCCCAATGTCATAGTTAACCACGGCTACCTCCAGAATTAAAATTATTAATTTTTGTTCCGATCTACGCAGTATGAACTTACAGTATCATGAAGTCTTGCAGTTGTATGCTTGGGTTGGGATTTAATTTTATTAATTATGGGATCCCAAGTAGATGGTAGTACCCAGCCATCATCTCTATTGAAATTAGGATGTTTTTTGATTTCAATAGCCTCGCGAATCATCCTTGGAAGGAATCGGTGTTCTTTAGCGAGGATTTGTGGTCTATCAAATCTAATGTAAAGACGGGGGCGATCCTGCACATGTTCACAGACTGCAGACTTCCCGGAGCGTCTATTCTTCACATCAGCTATGTGTTCCTTAACGCGAATTTTTATGGATCTTTTAGTTTGTCCTATATAAGAGA